GCAACATGTATTGCTTTTTCTATTCCTTAATTTTCTCAGACAACATCTTTTACCATTCTATATCTTTTATTCTATGCAAATATTTATTTTTTTCACTACAAAGCTATCTCTTAAGACTTTAACATATGTCTAAGGTAGTCTTACTTTCTCCATCTCACTGTTTCTCTCTTTTAAAAAACGCTTAAATATCTTAAAAGTAATTAAAATATCTTTAGCTTTTTTCTTCTAGTAGGCTAGCACTTAGGTATTGACAATGCTCTCACATTCCGTTTATATTATTCTACTATTTTTTGTGTATTTCACCAGTATACAAGACTACACATGAAGGTATGTTTAGGAAAGCTGGGTGAGCATCCATATTAGTACATCTAATTACTGTCATTTCATGCTTATAATGTGCAAATCTGATGAAAAGCGGCAGCCTTGTTTGTGGTCTTATTCAAGGAACTCAAGCTATGTGCTGCCAACACAGTGCTGTTTTCATTCCGAGGACTCTCCTACTGCGTCCTTTCTTCTGTCTTTGCTGAAGGCTTAAAATCTTCCCAGCTCTTTCTGTCTCATGGTGCCAAGTAAAGAAGATATCTAGAGTCCAAAATTGAATAGAGTTTAGTTTGTTTTGGTTTAGGGTACTGGGAATTGAACCTGGGGTGCTTTACCACTGTGCTACATCACCCAGTGATTTTTCTATTTTTTTTTTGAAATAAGGTCTCTTAAATTGCTTAGGACCTTGCTAAGTTGCTGAGATTGGCCTCCAACTTTCATCCTCCTGGTTTAGCCCTCTGAGTTGCTGGGATTATGGGCGTGCATCACCATACTTGTCTTTTTTTTGGGGGGGCGGGGGTCGGTGTACCAGGGATTGAACTCAGGGGCACTTCACCACTGAGCCAAATCTCCAGCCCTATTTTATATTTTATTTAGGGTATCATTGAGTTGCTTAGCACCTTGCTTTTGCTGAAGCTGGCTTTGAACTCTCGATCCTCCTGCCTCAGCCTCCTGAGCTGCTGGGATTACAGACATGTGTCACTGCTCCCACCACTGTATCTGTCTTTGAATAAAATTTTTGAATAGGGAAATTGTTTTAAGGATAATTAAATGTTGGACATTTAGTAGAGGATAATTTCTTCATCCTAGGGATATTAGAGCATACTGGAAAATTACTTTTTAAAAATATGTGATTACTTTGAGAACTATAATTATTAAATTTGCTTGTTCCTCCATCATGAACTTTTCTTGAGTTTTTACATGTGTGTCAGGCATAAGGGTGAATTAGAGCCCCCTGTATTCGAAGAAGCAATTTATCATAAGGTGGGAACAATAGTTTTGACAAAACATTATAAATGGTTCTATTAAGTGATAATTGATACCAATCTAGAAATGAATTTGAATGTAGGTGTCAAGGCAGATTCTGTGAACTAGTCCTAACCCCTGGAGCCTGGTATGGTCCACAACACTCAAAACATGTCGATACCTGTATATTATCCTTCTTAGGACTACTGCATAAATGACCCAAGCCCTTTTCAAGGTATAGCCCTTGAAATGCACACTTGTGTGAAATGTTATTTTTCATCAAGATATACAGGAAAAAATATTTAATTCAGATGATGTACAGTTTTGTGATTTTTGAGATCATTTTTTCTTTAATGGTAGTGGAGCTATAACCTAGCACTAGACTTTCATGCTAGGCAAGTACTCTCTTACTGAGTTACATCACCAGCCCTGTGGTCAAAGTTTTGACCTACTGAAAGAAAAGAACATTATACATGTAATTTATATATTTAAATAAATGTAAATTCACATACATATGTAATTTGGCTATGTAAATCAGCTCTGCTCTAGAAAAAGAATAAGGAGGTTGTGGTACGCATGTGGGGGGGGTAAGGGTCAGGAATAGGAGTAGGTGGCAGTTCATTTACTCAATTCTAATTTTTTTTTTTACTTATGAAAGATTCTTACTGAATGAAAACTAAGTTGATTTCCTACCCAGAATTATTTTGTTATAATGGAAGAGACCCAACGTTGGTATATTATTGATGCCAAATATGACTGCATAAAGCTTTATTAAACAGGGCGTGGTTTGCTTGTGAGTTTCATTTTTATTTTCAATTTGCAGGTTTCAAGATAAGTCTCAGACAGGAAGATGCTTATAACTAGTAATTCACACAGCCAGTTTTTTGTCTAGTCTAGATGAAATTCGGTAGCTCCTGCCCAGAATAAATGAAATTGAAATTGATTTAAGAAAATTAAAATGAGTGCATTTCACATTTAAAATATAGGTTTGCTCATAATTTCACAAAAGGGGAAAACAATTGTAAATATACTTAGCATTTAAGGAAATGAATGATAATGACATAGCATTTACTTAGTGATGTGTCTACCCATATCCTGTTTTTTCTTCCTCTGCATCTCAATCAATTTCTTTAGAAGACCGAGAGTCTCCACTGTATCCTCTTTCTCCTCTGAATTCCTGAGAGTGGTTCCTCTTTGGAGTGTTCTCCTAGGATGACTTCTCTCTAAAGCTCCTCCGGGGTGAACTCATCTATTTTATGATCTGATACTCTCAGCACACTATTTCTCAGGCAGAGCTCTCCTCAGAGCTCCAGGCTACCAATTAGGTGTCTCAGACATCTCAAGTTGACATACTGAGCTAAATTCATGGTTTCCTGTAAATACTTAATCTGCCTTCCACTCCTAGACTCTATAAGCTTCCCTCGCATCCATGCATGCAAGAAAGATCCCTTTCTCCCATCTTCAGAGCCACCAACTCTCCCTGTTAATTCTACTGCAGATTTCTTCAATCCGCCCACCTTCCTCTCTCCACCCACCTTCCTACTGCAGGTCACTGTCACCTCCCGGCACTGTTGCAGATCTCTTGCTTTCCTTGTTCTATTTTTCTCTTTATTTTTGGTACTGGGAATTGAATTTGGGGAGCATTCGACCATTGAGCCACATCCCTAGCCCTATTTTGTATTTTCTTTAGAGATAGGGTCTCACAGAGTTGCTTAGGCCCTTGCTTTTGCTGAGGCTGGCTTTGAACTTGAGATCCTCCTGAGCCTCTGGGATTATAGGCATGTGCCACCGTGCCCAGATTATTCTTCTCTTTCTTTCTCTTTTTCTTTTCTTTTTTTTTGGAGACAGGATCTCCCTACATAGCCACAGATTGGACCTCAAACTTGTGATCTCTTGCCTCAGCCTGCTGAGTAGCTGGGAATACCAGAGTGTACCACCATGCCTAGCTGTATTCCCTTCTTAATGCTTTCCCCAAAGGGTATGAAATTTAGTTTTCTTAAGGTTTCAAATGACTTGTGCCAGACTCCGAAACTGTTTTTCTGTGCCACTCCCAGCTTGCTCTTATTTCAGCCACACCTTTTCTCCTGTAACTCCTGCAGACTAAATTCTTTCCTGCCTGGGATCTTTCTGTCTTGTTTGGGGTTCCCCGTCAACCACTTCCTCTCACTCCCTCATCCCACATTTCTTCTCTGTTCTTCCCTCATAGATGCTCCTGAAGGCCCACTTTAGAATCTTGTTTACCCATTTAAAAAAAAAAAAAAAAATTTACTTTTTAGTTGTAGTTGGACACAATACCTTTATTTATTTTTATGTAGTGCTGAGGATGGAATCCAGGACCTTGCATGTGCTAGGTGAGCGCTCTGCCACTGAGCCACAACCCCAGCCCCTTGTTTACCTCAATTTACTGTGAGTTTCTGGAAGATCATTTCCCTGACTGCTTTTTCTTAAGGAGGCCTCTCTTCCCTATTCTTTAAAGACAGCGTCCCTAGAGAAAATTCCTGTCATCTAAAGGAACTGTGCTCTCCTTCATCCCTTAGAGAGAACTTTCCTTTATCTGAAGAAGATCTCCTCTCCCTATTCCCAAATAATCTTTCTTGGCCAATTGTTGGCTCTCTTCATTACAATATGAGTAATTTGTTTCTTTGTTGGCTAGTTTCTTGCCTCCAGGGGAATGTGCACCCCACTGAAAGCAGGTGTCCCTAGTTCTGCACTGCCTTTATGAAGAGGAGATGCTCTATTCACACCTTTTTTGAATGAATAAAACACAACAAAAGACAGCATTTTCTTATACTTAAGATTTTTGGCTAGTGATTATTTTGTCTTCAATTTATTTTACGCTAATAAAAAATGAAATAGTAGTCATTCATAATCTTTGACCAGAAAGCCACTAGATTACTCTTGTGAAGAGAAATTTTTCAGTCACCATTAAATGAAAGGATCGAGATACAATAGTTCTAATCAAAGATAATTTTTTAAAATGGAAAAATGGTAATATTTATAATTATCATATTTTGTAATAATCTATTTAGACTTATATATTTTGCTCTGCAAAATATAGAAACTACATAACAGGGCACTAAATTACAATTAGGTGTAGGAAGTTCTGGTGTTCTGTTGCACTGTAGGGTGACTATAGATAACAGTGTACTCTCTACTTCAAAAAGCTAGAAGAAAGAAATGTGCATGTTTTCACCTAACAGAAATGATAAAATGCTTGTGGAGATAAATATGTTCACTCTGATTTAAATATTACATAAAGTATACTTGTATCAAAATGTATCACAGTGCCTCATAAATATACACAATTTTTATATACCATTAAAATTAAATTTAAATTTAAAAAATGAATATCAGATCACACGAATTGACATAAAACTTCCTTGACTTTAGGTAGCATACGTTTTTGAAACAGCTTTATTGAGTTATGTGACATACAATAATTTGTACATATTTAAAGTGTACAATTTGACCAATGTGCATTTTTAAATGAATGTAGCCCTGAAGTTATCATGTGATATTTTTTAGATGAAGTAGACCAAATAGTACATGTATGTAAGAGAATACCAAATGAACAAGGAAAATTATGCCCTCTGTAAGTAGTTTTTAAAAGTAGTTGTGGATAATATCAAGAGAATGATTCCTCCTCATAAATTGTAAGATATTGCTGATGCTTGGTGTCAATTAAAATATTGTCCATCCCTTTTGTATTTTAGTAGGATGTTTCTTCTAGTGGGAGCTCCCAAAGCAAACACTACCCAGCCTGGGATTGTAGAAGGAGGGCAAGTACTCAAATGTGACTGGTCTTCTAGCCGCCGGTGCCAACCAATTGAATTTGATGCAACAGGTAAATGTTGATAATGTGGCCCGTTCTCTTAATTTACATTATTTGTTTTTTTAAAAAATGTTTTTTTTAAAGTAATATTCGTTGTGTTAATAAAGTAATGAATATAATCACCACAGACCCTCAGGGATAGTTGTATAAGAACAAATGATTTGTGTATGATTTCCTCCATAATTTTGTGGCATAAGAAAGCATTAAAAATACATCATTTCTGGACTCAAACTAAAAAGCTTCTTCTCAACAAAAGAAACAATCACGTTTTGGGACAAATTTTTGCCACACACACATTAGATAGAGCACTAATATCCAGGATGTATAAAGAACTCAAAAAATTTAACAACAACAACAACAAAAACAAACAACCCAATTAATAAATGGGCTGAGCGCAGACATTTCTCAGAAGAAGATACACATTTGATCAAGAAATATATGAAAAAATGTTCAACATCTCTAGTAATCTGAGAAATGTAAATTAAAACTACTCTAAGATTTTATCTCATGCTAGTCAGAATGGCAGTTATCAAGAATACAGACAATAGGGGCTGGGGATGTGGCTCAAGCGGTAGCGCACTTGCCTGGCATGCATGCGGCGCTGGGTTCGATCCTCAGCACCACATACAAATAAAAAGAATACAGACAATAATAAGTGTTGACGAGGATGTAGAGGAAAAGGCACATTCATACACTGCTGGTGGGATTGCAAATTGGTGCAATCAATCTGGAAAGCAGTATGGAGATTACTTAGAAAACTTGGAATAGAACCACCATTTGACTCAGCTATCCCACTCCTCGTTCTATACCCAAAGAACTTAAAATCAGCATACTATAGTAACGTAGCCACATCAATCTTTATAGCAGTTCAATTCACAATAGCTAAACTGTGTAAGCAACCTAGATGCCCCTCAATAGATGAATGGATAAAGAAACTGTGATATATACCCACATACACACACTCACACACACACAAAATGGAATATTACTCAACATTAAAAGGGAATAAAATTATAGCACTTGCAGGTAAATGGATGGAGTTGGAGAAGTGAAGTAAACGAATCCCCAAAAACCAAAGGCCGAATGTTCTCTCTGATAAATGGATGCTGATCCATAAAGAGGGGAAGGGAGGCATGTGAAAAATGGAGGAACTGTGATTGGGCAAAGGGGAGGGTGCATGGGGGCAGGAAAGATGGTAGAATGAGATGTCCATTATTACCCTAGGTACATGTATGACTGCATGTATGGTGTGATGCTACATCCTGTATAACCACTGAAATGAAAAGTTGTGCTACAATTGTGTACAGTGAATCAAAATGCATTCTGCTGTCACATATACCTAATTAAAAATAAATAAATTTAAAAATATATCATTTCTGTTGCTTTAGATGTCTTCCAATTTAAATTGATAGTGTTGGTACAGAAATTTAAGGGACATTTATTAATGTGGTTTTGCATTTCTTCTAAGAAAAAGGAGATCATAGGTTCAGAAAGCTTTTTGTCATTTCTCTGTCAGCCAGATTGAAGCATGACTTACTGATCATTATGGAAGATTAGCTCCCTGATCATGACTTCATCCAAGCCTTGGGCTGTGCTACAGAAACCAGCTGAGGAATCTTTTATATTCAAGTAGATTTAGATGACTCAAAACAAACAAACAAAAATCCCTCTTATTCAGAATTCACTGGGAAAATTGTATGTTGTCTTTCTGGTAATAGGATAATTTTATCTTCAGGAAAAAATTTCAGAGTCAGGATTGTGATAGTAGGGAGAAAAATTGCATAATTTAAGTTTTAATTTATATCATTGAAACTAAATATCCATAATTCTTTGTACGTTTATATTGATGTATGAAAGTGCCTGTATGTGTGTATATATGTGTGTGTATGCTGACATATTTATATTTATATGGATTTAGTGAATTCTCAAAGAAATAATGTGACATTTTTTCTAGTCTAATAGTTGCCCCCACTCCATCTACCACTAAATCTTATCCCTAGTCCTAGTGTAAATTTTATGCAATTTTTTAATGATTTTTGATTTGTTGCTTTGATTAGAATGCTTTAAGATAAGCCTGAATAAAATTAATTCACTTTTTTTCCATATTGTTGTTTCCTCCTGGTTCAAAAATATATTATTTCTGGGAATTATATCAGTGAAACAGGAATCATGATGTAGACTGTTCCATTCCATGTGAGGGATGAGTGCCAAATCAGTAATTAATCCTGTTAAGAGGAACCAAGTCACGATGGTTCTTTTCCATTTGAAATTATCAACATTAAACTCTATTTTTTTTTCATGTGACAAAAACTTGGAAAACCTCCAGAGTTTTATAAACAGGCACAGTTTTAACACAAATAGAAAAATACCTCTTATTCAGAATATTCTGGGTCAGAGCATTTATCTTCTAATACAATATGAATATTAATAAAATGAAATGCAGTTCAATTTTGATAAGATGAAATGTTTTGATATATTTCTGTTTTCAATAACATGAGTTTTGTATATTTCAAGATAAATTTGTTGTTGTTTTTTGAAATTTGGCTTCAGATCGTATTGTACTTATTGAAAAAATAAAATATGTACATGATAATAAAAATTTCAGTCTGTCCAAAGGGGGATAAGATGAAAAACAGGATTCTTAAACTAGCTTACCCAGAGGCAATGTCTCTTATCACAGCAATTTATCCTTCTAGAATTTTTTATACATGTATGCATCCTTAAGAAAAAAACAATTCGTAAATAGAAACGTACTGTTAGACACTGCCCCCACCTCTGGAGTTCAATCCAAGATGACAAGCTTACTTGCAGCTTTGCTTTCTGAATAATGTTTATATTTTAGCAAGCATAAAAAAATGGAAACCTCAGTGTAAAATTTATTATCATTTGGATTTGTGAAATTTGGCTTTGAAATATTTTTTTAGTTTTCTTTTAAACTCTTCTGACTTACCACTTACTTATCTTCTGGGTTTTTCTTTTTCTCTCTGATTTTCTTGACATATTATGTAAACAAAACCACAACTGGGATGCAAAAAAAAAAAGAAAAAGAAAAAGGCCCGGTTTCCTATTTTACATGTTTATGCAATGACTGAAATATCACAGCAGTTGCCTTCTTGGAATTTAAACCCTTTTATCCAGTAAATTCTCATAATTTGTAGACTTTTAACCAAGGTCTATATAATATTTGAAAACTGATTTTTCCCCCCAAATAGTCATAATAATTAGAATTTTGAGGCATTATAGAATTAGTGAAAACAAAAAGATCATTTTGGGGCATGGTTTTGTTGTTGTTTTAGGCTAAAATGACTGATCTGTAGAAAAATCACAGTTTTTCTGAATTTGAACATGGAAACAGAACTGAAGCCACAGATTAGCATATGATTTAGTTTAGGAATTAATGATCTATATATTTTCGGAAATAAATGTATTCTGAAACTATATTGGGCTGTTATATAAAACAAATAATATGGACACTATTCATGTAGCAGACTAGGGCAGTCTAATCTCAGTTTTGTGTATGTGTTAGTCTTCGTTTCCTATTGCTTTTGTCATAAATTAGCACAAACTCAGTGTCTTTTCTTTTTTGGTGCTGGGAGTTGAATTTATGGCTTTGCACATGGAAAGCATATGCTCTACCACTGAGCTACACCCCCATTCCCTAGATGTCTAAAAACAACACAAATTTGTTATCTTCAGTTCTGGAAGTCAGAGGTCCAAGATGGGTGTCACTGGGCAAAAATCAGTTGTTCGTAATGCTGCATATCTTCTGCAGGCTGTAGCGGGAAACTTCGTTCCTTTCCTTTTCCATGTCCTAGAGGCCACCAGTGTCCCATAGCTGGTGTCCCCTTCCTCCCATCATCAAAGCCAGCAGTGACTCCAGAGTCTTTCTTGTATTGTATCACTCTAACATGGAATCATCCATCTCCCTCTTGGGGCCACACAGATAATCCAGAATAATCTTTCATTTTAAGTTTCTTAATTTGATAAACCTGCAAAGTCTTTTTTTTTTTTGCCATGTAATGTCACTTAATCAAGAGAAAGTTTCTGCGAATTAGGATTTGGATACCTTGGCTTGCAGGTGGAGGATTACTCTATCTACCACAGGGCCATTTTAAATATCTTGTTAATTGACATTAGTTTATTCTGAAAGCTGCTTCCAGACCAAAAAAAAAAAAAAAAAAAAAAAAAAAATCTGCTGGCTCAGATTCAGGCTCTCATTAGGTGACCCTTGGGCAGGTGACTTACTTATGTTTGCCAGCCTCAGTTTTGCCATTTGTCAAAGAACCATAATATTTACCTCTCACATTGTTGAATAGACAAAGGAAATCATGTCTTTGAAGGTATTTTGTAAACAGGAAGCACCATACATGTAAAGAAAGGATGGTTTATATCAGGCTTATAGCTAAACTATGGGAAGGTGAATAATTAAGGAAGAGGAAAGACATAAAGATAATTATGGGTGTGGATATTAAATGGATTATATATTGGCTTACATTTTAACTTCTGTTATTGTGACATTTGGGAAAATCCTGCCCTTGCAACATATTTTCCTTTTCTAAAGGAAGCGGATGTTACTAACAGACTGATCATTGCCCAATTTTCTCCACAATAAATATTTTCCAAAAAAGATAGACTGCCAGTCTCCCTGAGAAAGGAAAATATATATTACCTGGACCTGCCAAAGACTCTTTGCTTAGAAATAGGTTATTGGTATGCTTGTGAAATATGTCCTTTAAAAATAGGAGAAGGTCCTACTTCTATATGCCAGATATGGTGCGGATGTCACCTTTTGCCCACCAGGCCCATCCTAGAGAAGGTCAGAGGTCAGATTCTTTTTTGAAATATCTTGCTACCACACTTAGCTACTTCTTCAGAATGGCTGAGCTTTAGGCTGTGGGTGGACTGACAGTGCTAGTTCTCTGTCAAGAAAAATGCTGTGGAGTGTTTTCTGCACATTACAAGACTTTGTATTTAATAGAGAATAAGTGGCTTTCTAGTCTCTGAGCCATACA